CAAAATGAATACAAAATATTCAATTCCTAACTGTAAACAAAGCAAAACTGAGAAAAACTGAAGAAAAAAAACAATTTTTACCAATATATTGCATTTTTCGATCTGATGCCGGACTTTTTGAATCTTTTCAAGTTTATATCTGGATAGAGCATAAAAAACTGCATCGAACTGATATAGTCTCACTTAAGTTCAAAAATGTTCAGTGCACTAGAAATATTGGAAAAGAGCGTATAAGCTTAGTATACTGAAATTTTACTCGTATATCGTATTTTTTGATCGGATGCCGGCGTTTTTGGATCTTTTCGAGTTCATATTTGGATAGAGCATGAAAAGCTACATCGAATTGATATAGTCTTACTTAAGTTCAAAAATGTTCAGTGCACTAGGAACTCTAGAAAGAGGAATGTCCATATCGAGATTTTGGTCGTATGTCGCCGTTATAAGCAGCTAAACATTTTGGATGGTTTTTATTCATTAAGATTTGGATAGAGCTTGGAATGTTGGATCTAAAAATGCTTTTCTAGACCTCCTAATGACTATTACATGCGAAAGGAGGGTCAAAAATATGGTCAGAACCTTAAAATCCGCATATAGGAAAAAAGGTCTAATTTTTCAGCACTACATTTTTGAACTTTGAGATAGCGAAATTCGTGATCAGCGTGGTCAACTTGTTAGTTCTAATCACTTTAAAAAAAAAATTTCAAAAAAAAATTTTTTTGCATCCCCCTAGGGGGGGGTATTTCACCCGGAAGTGATTTTAAGGAAAATTAACATGCTAGATTTGTAGCCCATTTCGATCTTATAACACTCATATAGTTATTTCTTGAAAATATCTGAGGTTGGAAAATGGCCTTATCGACCCTCCTCCTTTGCTGCTATTCCACATAAATAATCATCAACTGAATTCTTCTTTACTGTTCTTTTTGAATGTGTCTTTTCTCTGTGAGACGCATTGTCTAATTATATAGCTGAGACGAAATGACGAACGGACAAATTTTCCGTGAGATAAATTGTCGGGGACGAATATGATATGCGAGACAAATAGACTGAGACGAATTGACGGAGACAACAAAGACTAATACGAATTGTTATAGCACCATCTTGACTATTATTGTTGTGCTTATATGATAATATGGCTGCGATTAAATCAATATGATATTCATTTTTAAATGATTGAAATTTAAATGAAATACATGAATCATTCGTTTTTGTATTGTTTTCTAAATTCGTTTCATAATTATACAGCGTAGAATCATTGTATTTCATCAATTTAAAATTTATATATGGTAACTCCTTCAAATATTCCTTATATCTAGCATAACATGTAACAGATTCTTTAAAAGAAATTGTATCGACAGCCGATTGATGATGTTTTGCGTTTAAAAATGTATCTACACGTTTTAATAATACTTCTGGATATTCTGGAGATTTTAAATGTAGTAGAGTAGCTACAATAAGAGGGAAAGAGAGCTAAGCGTTTAAAAAACGAGTAAATTCTAGAAAGAAAAAAATTCCGAGCTGAGGATGATTACGACGCTTCTTAAACTTCAATCATAGGCAAAAACTGCTGCTGTTTTTATGCCGAATGCAGAGAATATATATTAAATGACGTTTTTTTGACAATTATCAGTTTAAAAGGAGATAGAGATCTCAAACCAAGACGACATTCCAAACGATACTGCACAAATATTTTCTTTTGTTATAGATAGACAGTCCAAGGTGTGCTCTTGAAAAAAAGAATTGAGAGGTCTCCTTATCTATAGCCGTACACACGTGACATCGGATTTTATTCAAGCTCCATGAGTGATATTTCTTTAGGCGTGATAACCTGAAAAATAAGTGGAAATACAGGTTATCGACCACGCTAACTCCTGTAGCAATGTTCGCTTTTCGAAAGAATTACCAACAAAGGAAACATGTCGAGCTGGAGATCATGGATAGAAGCGGGAAAAGTAGACAGTTCAATAATAGTTTATTTATTTGAAAATGATTTATAATACCAAAATTACAAATAAAAAATTATTATTATTGATGTTTTAGTATTGAACATGTAATAAGTTACTATAACCAATTCCGGCTTAATCCTTAGTCTGGGATTTCATAAAATTGTACATTGTCTTTTGTTATAATCTGAATAAAAATTGTATGGAACTTTGCATTCAATACATTTTTCAATAAATTTTGTTCTCATTTCTAATATATTTTTATATTCTTGGTATATTGATGTTTCATTTTGAAGATTGTACGATTCATTTCTAGAACAACCCATAAAGAAAATACCTTGAGAAAAAAATTCTACAAAATTATGTGAAGAAACTTCTGGATGACAAAAGAAATCGTTGACTAATTTTGTTTTTTCATTTGCCGTTAAATGTTCGCAATTGGTAATAATTAATGCCATGTAATTTCTCAATTGAGGATACTTTTCTTTCACAAATATCATGCTTTTGATGTCTTTCTCATTAATACCACCAATCAAATTAAAAGTAAATGCAAATAAATGAATATTTGTTACATCGTGTTTAAGACAATCACTAATAATTAATGCTATGTGATCATTGGTCAATTTATCTTGTTCTGCTACTGATATATCAAACAATCCCGGAGTATCAATGATATTGAAATAATACTGTGTAGTGCCACTAGCACTAAGAACTTTATGATATTCAGCTTTCTTTGTTTGAGAATACAATTCTTGTTGCGTTGAAACGTAAAATATATTTTCAATAATATTCGCTATTGTTGATTTTCCTGTACGTGTACGACCAATCAACATCACATTTCTATCAATACATTCAGCAAATTGATATCTGTTGTATTCATTGTCAGTGGCTTTGAGATTACTCGTAATTTCATCTATATCACCTACTGTATCGATGCCAAAAATATCGACACCATCTGTCATTGTAAATAGCTAAAGTGAATAAAAGGAGGAAGTAATGATTGTAATGCCCCTCATTATCCTTCTGTATTCTTTATAAAGATTCAGCAACAAGTTTAGGAAGTACGTATGTTGTTTTCGTATCTTCATGATTGGATATTACCACTACAAACGGGCATTTCTACATAATGGAAAAAGTGAAAAAATTCTATGACTTATGGTAAATCTACGTAAAGTTAGCAGCGGATTCGACCTTTTTCCTAATCGATTCGCGTACTAAAGCGAGCTACAGCTGATATATTGCGAGCCGGATGTATCCACAAGACGCTTACCACAACCCACTGTTTCTGTTAGTTCAGAATTTTCCAAGACAACCTTAGGTTAAAATTTAACTATTTCTCTTTACGGCATCATTTTCTAATCTTTTTCGCGATTATTTATCACATTAACCTAGCCAAAATACGAAAACAACAGGCCAACTAATAGGTTCTTTGACAAATGTCTAGCCGCCCTTATGGTAAAAACTTTACCTGCTTTGTCGAAACTTTAATTTTCTCAATTTTTTTCATTCCAAAATCGGTTTAAAAGACTTAAAATTAGCGTTTCAGTAGCTCCTTCGATGATCCCCATCCCATCGTATTATAAAATCAACAAAAAAAATTTTTGCTCAATTCGCATATTGCCGGCACATTATATAACCTACCAAGAGAATCGTGTACGTTTGAAACAAAGTTAAGTATTACACCTGTGTGGTATGCGATATAAGAAATGTAGTGCTAGGAGACCGTAAAAGAAACAAATATTATATATGCTAAATGAGTCAATTCAAATATGGTCTCTTTCTTTCTTTATATGAAATAATGTTGATGAGCTTTTTCCCACATTAAAGGGCCCGTTGACCTTAACGCATATACAAAGAAAAATAGAATCACACGTAAAACGAAAGATTTTTCTTAATCGAAAAGCATATTGTTCTTTGCAAAAATAACAGCTAAAAGCAAGAAAAACACGTTTTTTATTTTATTGGTTTGTTGTTTCTTTATCTCCTATTTTAATGAAAGATGACAATAATATTCTGGCACTTTCTGGAGTGGTAAATCAGCAGAAGGAAAGAGCCCACAGTTTGTATTGGTAACTATCGAGTGCTTTGAGACATTAAGCTTTGTTAGTGTTAGCGTATAGAAGATTTTGTCAGTAGTAAAAGTTATCTGCCTTTAGTCGCGTGCAGGATATTTATGAGATTTTGTGCTTATTATTATTGGAGATATATAATGTCTGATATATTTAAAATGGATTTGACAGTTAATATGGAAAAAATTAATGCAAACCTGAAGGCTACCGACAATGCACGTAATAAATTCAAGTTAGCGGAAAGTGATCAGCGAGATATTTTATTAATGGGGCGTTCGGGTGCGGGAAAAACAACAATAGCGAAGGTTATACAACACATATTTTACCAGTCACACAAAAATGATCAGAAAACAACAAATAGTAATTCTATTAAAGTGGCTATAGGTGAAAATACTTTTTTAAATTTAATTGATACTCCAGGATTCGTCGAGATTCCTTCAAAGCCTGATTTAGATCCAAATCGCTTATGCAAAAGTCAGAAAACTGAAGATAATATTAAGAATTATATTACAAAATTCGTCCCGACTGTACATCTGATTGTGTTTGTGATTAATGATAACCAGATAATGTGGGATATTCTTGCAATGTGCCATTTTAGAAAAATGAATCGAAGCTTAAGTGAACATACTGCTCTAGTTATAAATAGCTCTAAATGTCTTTCAGATGACGAAGAAAATTTACTAAAAACAAATTTTGTTAATCATCCGAAGGTTCATGCAGAGAATTTGGTGGACTTCTTTTGTCAAGGTATACATGTTATGTCTTGTTTAAATGGGAGATCAAGTTCTACAGGCAATCAATATGAACAGTACGATTATTTATTACGCATGCGAACAAATTTTATTAATAAATGTCTCAGCTGTAAAGACAAAATAAAGTGTGATTTATATATTTAAAGCTTGAACAAAATAACGTTCAAACATTTAAAAATCAATGCTGCGTGAAAGATAAATAAATAAGCTTAACAAACTATTGACTTTGTATGGAATTCATGCATATGCTCAGTTATACCAATATTGTATTACATCATTATTCTGGTAGATTTCAGCTTGACAAACGACACTATAGTCTTTTCGCGGATCCACTATTGGGCAATTTTCTCAATAATCACACCTTGCTCAGAGCACATGTCTTTATCAATGTTCTGTCTTAGTACGTGTCAAAACTCATCGTACGATAGGAAGAAAATTTTTCTGTTCCTTGTCTCTTATTAATGGAATCAAGTAAAAGTTCTGATCGTGCTGTTAGTTGAGAGTCAAACTTAGACTTGAGTTACGATGAAGAACAATGAAATCACTTCATTCGTTTTCCAAGATCCCTCTAACTTGACGATTTTTCAACAGCCATAATTGCAGTTATAAACTTTATTTTTGTACCAGATAGAGAACAAAATCGAGGCTATTGCTCCATTACAATGTTCTTTAAAAAAAGAGACACAGTTAAAATAATAAAAAGAAAAGAGAAAGTGAAGAAACGTTCTCTAACTGTTAAGGCTGAAAATGAAAATACAACTGTATGTATCATAGTTGTTGACAGGATCATCTTTTCTAGCTTTTCACAACTGACTAACTTGGGAACTTTCTCTCTTTTCTTGTCACTGTCTGTTATGTGTTAAATTAGTTAATGAGTTAGAGTAAAAACAAATTTTGAGTACGGGTAACATAGGCCGTCACTGTATATCATACTTTAAAAATTTAACCTTTTGCCTTTGGAGATGAAGACGCACTCGAGTTGCCAAAGACTTGAGACATAGAGCGGCAATAGAATCTCGATGTGCTTTCCATGCAAAATTGGGAGAATCCTTATTCTGTTATTTCTGTTTTTCTTATGTTTACTTTTCGTTTTCAGGTACAACTTCTGTTCATGTTACAAGTTCACTATATGTTTGCTTTTTTTGTGATGTCCTTGCCTATGCTAAATAAATTAAATCTAATCATATACCGTATTATTCACAGAGTTTACTTTAAAGAAAAGTGTGAAGTCAAGAACAAGTTTTTAGATAGTTTTAAGTAGCAAAAGAATACATTAAGTTACGTTTCTTTGCGATGTATCCAACAGTGTTTATCATCATTAATATCATATGATTCCTTGCATGAAATAAGACTTTCAATTAATCGATTTCGCATATCAAGCACATTTTTGTATTCTTGATATATCGAATTTTCCAGTTTATTTGCATATGATTCGTACCTCAAACAGCCCATGAAATAGATCCCTCTTTGAAAAAATTCTTTGAGATTATTTTTTTTAATTTTTGGATGGGAAAAAAATCCATCGGTTAATTTCGTTTTCGAATTATCATCTAATTGCTCGCAGTTTGTTATTATCAATGCCATATATTTACCTATGCTAGGATAATATTTTTTCACATATAACATACTTTCAATATCCATATCATTGATTCCATCGGCAGTCCTCTCTCTAAGACGTCTCAATCTTAAGAGTAGTCTTGTTTATAAGGCACGCAGTCTTTTTAAACTAATTAATTCCTGGATTTGGCTCAAAACTGGTCGTAGATTTTCAAAAGATTTTTACATGAGCGTGTAGAAAAACGTTCGGTCTACCACCATGTTCAATAGCAAGCTTTTCCGATCAAAAACGGCCAAGAAATG